ATATTGCGAAGTTGCATCGTCGTGGCAATGTGAAGATGATGGATCGTCAAGATGTTCCGGTTTCCAAGAGAACCGGCAACTTTTGAATGGGCAGAACGTCGCCAGAATTGCTATCGTGCAGACGTGTTTACTAATCGAGTTGTTGTTATAGTTAATAAACGTTTTGTGTTTTTGTTCCTTTTTATAAAAGACGTGTTAATTATTTAAAATGACTACTCCTCGATGTGGCTCCATCCCCATGGCGCAACGATACAGACATCAACATATTTATACAAACATACGCTCGGAAACATCAAACCTACCACTTAATTTAGACAAATTTCTTCGATAGACATAGAGGGTACGAATAGTTATGGAACCGACTATATAAAAACTGTATACAAAAATGTGAAAACGTGGCGAGTTTAGTGTTAACCGACCGTGATCTCTAATATTAACTCATTCGCTCTCTTTCATCTTTCCCTTTTTTAACCCTCTGACATTCTCCGTGTAACGTTCAATCGTACCTAGTTCTAGCTTACACAATTCACATTTTTCGTCTCCTTCTACCCAATATCTATTTCCTCCTTTGAAATTCCCCCACCTCGAGACGAATATTTCTGTAGAAGTTACAACGGTAGGTGGTCGTAAAGCGAAGACCCTTCCTAATTGCCGCCGTCCGTCGTTGCTTTATCGAAGGTCTATCCAACCCTGGCCAAGACCAAACGTTGCCCCGAGGGATTTCCTCTCCGAAACGCGTCGAGAAAGAGGTCTCTTTTTATTATGCATACGACAGATTTGCCGCGAATTCAAGGCTGCACTTTCAGCCGGTCCTATATAAACCGACTCGGTTCATCCTGCGGTGAAATCGACGCGGGTTCGACCGTGTCCCTTTTCATAGCGAGTATGGACACACGCCAGCGGCACGCACGTGAAGCGTCGTGCAAACAGCTCGGCGTCGAGCACCGGCACGATAAAATGGGACTTTTATCCGCACGGTGGCGGGAACTTTGTAGGGAAAACGCGGCTATGAACTTCCCTCGCCAAGTATTCCATCGCTAATTAACATTATTTTTTTTTTTTTTTTTCGTCGCGAATCGAGACAACTCGCGGTAACTCTCTACCCCCTTTTTACACGCGAGACCGTTGATAAACGTGACCCGGGACGGCAGAAACGCGCGGGAGAAGGGACGTCAATGGAAATGTTATTCAACTAACGTCTCGGAAAAAAGTAAGGCTACGGGGAGGCCCCTGAATGACGCAGCCATGCAGCGCGATTCCTCGAATAGCGCAATGCAGCATGCTTTGCATTGCAAACATTGCCACGCAGTTTCCGCTTCATTCGTCCTTTTCGCGCGGTTTTTATTGCCCGTCGGGGTGGTTTCACCCGATCGTTCTTGCGTGAAATCGTCACGCGGAGATTAGGTAGATAATAGGTGGAGAAATTAACCCTTTGCACTCGAGGCTTTTCTTTCTCGGTATACATATAATTCTGTTGCCACAAATGCTAAGTTTAGATCGACTTCGATGTAGCTCGATTCGTTAGCACAAACTAATTTGAGATTTGAAAATCAGGTCGCTTTCACTTCGCTGATATTTTTTTTTTGTTTGGCACTTTGAATTTCAAAGAAATTAAACCTAAACAAACATCGCTGATTGATTTACTGCGTGAAACCTGGTGGTGACCGAGAGTCATCTCTCGAATGCGAAGGGTTAATTCTGTGACTCTAGTTCGAGCAGAAATATGTATTTGTCAGATTGTTTAGTTAAAGTACCAACCTTCCAAGGAATGAAATAATTAAAGAATTAAGATCAAGGTGGGAATATTTGTACTTAAAAAAATAAGCCCTTAAACTTTACACTCTCGTCAGCACGTGTTTCCGTACGAGGCGTGTCAAAGATTCCATTTGCCGGGATCGCACGCTTCCGCTCGATTTCATCTTCCACAAGTTCCGCCTTCGGTGTCGCGCCCGATAAGCAGTGGTCGTTGCTCGTCGCGTCCTGGTTCCAGAATTCCTTCGGGATAGAGAGCAACGCGAGGTCCCCGCTCTCGATTATGTGCGCGAGTTTCATCTTTGCCCTCTGGGCCGTGATCCTCGTCGATCAAACTTCTCGCATCTCGATCGCGCTGGGCCCCAGTTTTTCTTAGTCGAGATACACACTTACGCAGGGAATTCCATTTTCATCTATGTAAATATCATCGCAGGCATCGTTGAATTCCCGCTAATCCCAAATTTTGTCTAAAAAGAAAGTCAGGGAGCGTCACTTTGCAAAGAAATAGTTCATGAAACTACTCGGGAGCGTTGAAGAAAAAATGTTATTTATTTTGTTTCTTGTACTTGTTTACAATATTCAATGGAACAAATCGAGTCCAAACCAACGTCGCATCGATCATTATTTAACCCTTTGCACTCGAGACCTTTTTTCTCTGGTATCTACCAGCAACTCGAATGCTAAGGTTAGATTGACTTGCAAACTAATTTGAGATTTTACTTCGCCTTTTACTGACTTTCACTGCACTGACAATCATTTTATTGACACTTCGAGTTCCAAAGAAATGAAACGTAAACAAACATTATTGTCGGTCGATTTACTGCGTAAAACCTAGCGGTGATCGAGAGTTACCTCTCGAGTGCAAAGGGTCAAAATAGAGAATAAATCGAGACACTTGGAGCATACTCGATGAAAATTTTTGAAGTCGCGAGAGTTCAGGGATCGCTGAAGCAACCCGCGAGGAGACCGGTGAATTATTTAGGTCAGATCGGAGTTTGGAAGCGAGCATCGTCCGGGAGTTAACTCTCGAAAACTGGTTTAGATCACCCGCCCAGAGCAAATCAGCGAAACGGGAGAATGCGAGCTGACTAGGTCATTAACAAATATAATCAACGACAGCGGTTCTAAATACGAGATCCGTGAGACTCCGAGTGGAACTCCACACCGATCGAACAGGTTACCATGGTTGTTGAGTTGCGATTCGCCTCTTAGGCAAACTGTCTATCATATATTTAACGGAGCGATTAATTTTCTATAACTTCGGAAGCTTCCAGGTACATATAGATCTGGGTTCCCGTCGAGAGCTCGATTAGGGATGAACGTCGAACTCTAGAAGTCAGGAATAAATTGTCATTCTCACACCTAAGATAATTATAAGTCGAATAAAAATACGACTGGTAGGGGTCAGCGATCCTCAGGTTTCAGGTTCGAATCCTCTTGCTCCTATTGTAGATTTGTACACAGTGCGTCAAATCAATTTTAAGGGGGTATCCTGAATTAGGAGGTCTACAAAAAACGATTTTTCGTGAATTTTTTTTAGGATGGAAAAAAATAATTAATTTTATCGAACTTTTTATCCTATTTTCATACATATTCGAGCAGCCTGTACAAATTTTTTCAAGAAGAAATATACAAATTGAGTCGACTGTGACGCACATTTGTAGAACACCTCACAATTAAAACCTCTTATTGGCGGGAATGATGCAGCTCGCAATTTTGATTTGACACAAAAAAACCAAAAGAAATTTTCATTTTCATACATTTTTCTTCTATGCAGAACTAAGAAAAACCCGCAAAAATGGCGAAATGTTAAATTACTGCAAGTTTGAAAAAAAAGAACGAGTTCTTTGTGTGAAAAAAATCACTTTTACTTGATAAAAAAGTTATTTGAAATTTTTGTTGTATGAATTTTTTTAGTTCGCATAGAAGAAAAATGTATGAAAAAGGAAATGTCTTTTGGTTTCTTTTGTGACAAGCCAAAATTACGACCTGAATCTTTCCCACCGATAGGAGGTTTTAATTGTGAGGTGTTCTACAAATGTGTGTCGCAGTCGACTCAATTTGTTTATTTCATGTTGAAAAAAATTTGTACAGACTACTCTAATATGTATGAAAATAGAATAAAAAGTTCGATAGAATTAATTATTTTTTTCCATCCTACAAAAATTCACGAAAAACCGCTTTTCTTAAGACTAGGTCAGTAAAAAGAAATAGAAATAAGAATTTAACACCTGTTTTGTTTTTTTATTCAAAATAGAATCCTCCGGCTTGAATGCACTTTTTACAGCGATTTATTAACGAATCAAACGCCTCTTGTAAATGACTCTGTGAAATGGCCTGTACGAAGCAATTCTATACGAAGTCGAACGATGAACGTACAAGTTCAGTCCCAAGTTTGTGCATTTATGGAGACTTTGCTGTGTACCCCCGTGATGCTACACCATTTTTCGTTATACTCCATGAACATTAATTTCGCTTCTTTTCTCGCTCCCTAATCAATCATCGTTCGATCCTTCGTGAACAAGGTTGCGTATCTCGACAGTGGACACCGCTCGCGTGTAAATAATATCCGGGTATCAGGCAGCGTGATATAAATTGCGATTAATTAGAGGATAGAGCTGGCAGTTTTCTTACGTTTAGAGACGCGATAATTCACGTTTCTGCTCGCGGCGCGTCACTTCCTCCCATCTCACGGTGAATCTACCTTACGTACGTCCCACGAAGGGAATGTAATAATTACCAGGGCAGCTCTTATTACCATGGAGGTCTCGCATTACCGCTGAGTAGACGGCCACGACGAGATAGCGCTACGCCGGGCGTGCTCTTCTCACGTTTGCTTCTTGTGTCGCGTCGGGACCTCACCGTGTTTGTTACCACGGTGGATAGTTAGTCACTTAACGGATAATTCCCCGCGATCCAACTTTGCCCAAGATTGTCGTCCTTTGAGGGATAACCGGCATCCGAGGGAACGCTTCGTGAATTTAATCGCGAGCATTTCGCTGCGCCGCGCATCCGTCAAGCACCGCGGTAACTCGTTCGTTGAGTTCGTCCTCGCTCGTTTCCCCTTTGATTCGTAACTCGCCACGCGAAAAGAAATGAAGCATTTTCGAGTAAAAATAAACCGCGAACTTGGTCGCTCATCGACGGGAAACTCTGTATTTATTTTACTTAGGAAACTATTTAGAATTTAACCGAATTCAAGATTTACGTTCTTCGTCTCTAACTCGACTTTTCCATTTCTGTTTCAGGTAAGCCCCGTCGACGTATTCTCTGCGAATTCCCAACGACAATTTCCCGTCCCAGGTATTTATCGTAATTATTCACCGTCAACAAAATGTCACTTAAAGGTACTATTTGTACCACGACCATATGACCTCTTTCTCGAGTCGTTGCTACTTTCCTTTAACGTGTTCAAGGAGAGTAAACAAAAATAATTAATGCAACGATGCAGTGCTACCATAATTGCTTTTGCAGGGCCGCGGAGGGCGATATACGTAATTGCTTTCTTGAGCTCGCCACCGAAAGGTCACGCGGATTACATCGAACGTTATATTCAGGGATTAGGATCGCGAAATTTGTTCCGTCGATAGGCTAAACGATACTTAACAAATTGGGAAATTTCCCTGGTCCCTCGGTTCCATTAATTACGACCATGTTTAATTTGACTAACGAGCTTCTTCGACGAGCGAGACCCTGACGGTTCTTCGCTGCACTCGATTATTCTTATCGCGACGAATTTCCGGCTGGTGGGCTGTTCTTTTCTTTTTTTTTTTACTCCGGAAGCCGCCTCTTCCGCTGGTTCTCTCTCGGCGGAGGAAAATCACGCATAGGCGTCGTTCTTAATACGTATCACGGGTGGCACGATTAATACTCGTTACAGGTCGCGCGAGCGAGGATAACGTTTTATCGATCCTGGCCGAGGGCTGAATGCAAAACGGGCCGACCGCGTTGTTTTCGCGTTTTATTCTCCAACGAACGCTCCGATCGTTCTCTAAAGGCAGAGATGGGGCGAGATTCTTATCTAGATGAGAATCTCGAGCGACGAACAAAAGGCCAACAACTGCCCGTCCGTTTCCTCTCGAATGGAAAATGAAAATTTGAATTATAGAATGGAGCATCTCGCGGCGAAGAAACAGATATTTTAGTTCGAATCGATGAACCACGTTCGATCAAAATGTTGCCCGTGTCCACCGCGAACACCGCACGTTTCTAAACGGGACATCGCGTTAAAACGTTTTGCATAATTTACTCAACGAATTTGCACGCCAATCTACCGAGAAAGGCGTCAAGTCGCCGAACGTAGCGTTGTATTGGCGAAATTCGACGACCGGTCACGATACACTTAGCCGACCTACGTCTCAAGCGACAAGGAAATCTGTAATTCGTATAAGTGACACGTTATTCCTTTAGGGGTGGACAGTAGAGCAGCGCGTAGAGTAGAGGTTTTTTATGGTTGGATTAGGGCCGGCTAACAAAAATATGAAATATGGAAATAGCCTAGGGCGAACAAATAACGAATAAGATAAGTTCAATAACAAATAAAAAGGGGAACGAATAGTTGGTAGCTCCCCAGCTAAGCACTATAAACTCAACAAACAAACAATTACTCTACCGTCGCCATCTTAAGTCCAGGCTCGTTCCGATACAATACTCATCGACACGGTTAAATGAAACATGACTAGAGAAAAGTGATCGAATAATTCAAACAATTCTAGCTCAATTTATTATACCTTTACTCTTCCGTCAGGGGCGGACAGTAGAGCAGTGCATAGGATTAATCGACAACCACTCTGAGAGCTTGAGTTCAAATCCTGGTCGGTCCGCCCAGGTTTTTTATGGTTGGGTTAAGGATGGCTAACAAAATTATGAAGTATAGAAAAAGCCTAGGGCGAAAAAATAATGAACAAGATAAGTGCAATAACAAATAAAAAGGGGAACGAAATAGTGTAGGACTCTGGCTGAAAGAAAGAGATCTTTTTAAAATAGAGCTAGTTTAATACTCTGTACAAGGGTCGCCGCGATACTGTGGTTCAGGCAGCCACGCTCTATACGCATATTAAGCTGGCGTAGCTATTTCAAAAGGCCAATGCCAAATTAACACGATACTTATTTGCTAATTATTTGCTAATTATTTGCCAAAGAATTAATTTTTTTGCTCCAGCCGTTTTCGAGAAACAATGGCTATGCTAGCGTAATATCAAGCTAGCGTAGCCACTTATGTATCTCTGTACCTAACAGGGATATCAATTCCATTCTTGCAGCACAAAAATTCATATTCGGTGGATTAAGAGGAAATAAATAGCAAATAAATATGCCGCAAAGATGGCGTCGATATCTTTGTTATGTCTTATGATACAACATGTGGCCACGTTAGCTTAATATTAAGCTAGAGCAGCCACAGTTTTTCGAAAACGACTGGGGCAAAAAAATTCATATTCGGTGGATTAAGAGCAAATAATTAGCACAAAAAAAAATATGCTGCAAGAATGGAATCGATATCCCTGTTAGGTACAGAGATACATATAAGTAGGTACACTAGCTTGATATTACGCTAGCATAGCCATTGTTTCTCGAAAACGGCTGGAGCAAAAAAATTAATTCTTTAGCAAATAATTAGCAAATAATTAGCAAATAATTAGCAAATAATTAGCAAATAAATAGCAAAAAAATATCGTGTTAATTTAGCATTGGCCTTTTGAAATAGCTACGCCAGCTTAATATACGTACGCTCTATCGGCGACCGTTAAAAAACATAAGACAATGTGCAACGCACTGCAGTATCACGCGAAACATACATAGGGCGGTCGAGGCGCCTTATCACGATACTATTACAATAGTCAGTAGCTCCCCAAGTTAAGCACTATAAACTCAACACGAACGAGGCACGTTCCTTTATTCCCTGCGCGAATTTGTCCATAGCCAAGCGTTTCCGAATACCTCGGAACATCGATTTCCACGAAGCGAAAAGATCACCCGTCCCACGCTTCCACGATATTCGAACGGCGCGATAATCAAGTATTCATTCCGAGAATCGAAACGTACCGAAGGGCGAGGTATCGACATTCGAGATCGATAAACGTCAGAGGGATTTCTGAACGATATCGGTGCAGTCGATTCTCTCCATACCGCGTCGATTCCAAGTGGGCGAAGCGTTCTTTCCTTCGTTAGCCAAAGACGCGTTCTCTACCGGTGTTTCGCGACGGCTTCTATTTGCGGCAGTAACGACCGGCTACTCGAATTCAGAAATGGCACGTTTGCGTTTAGCCTTGTTCGTCCCAACGCGGTTTTGGCATCCGTGCACGAAACGCTTCCCTAATAGACGATTGCCAAATAAGTAAACATCGCGCGTTGGCTAATTTCGAATACTCGCTGTCGTGGGTGGTAGGCCTGAAAGGATGATCCACGAAGGACAGGGTTCGTCGAAGAACAGGCAACGATCGAGCGATTTCCGGCAAGGCCCCGCCTTGATCGTTGCTCGCGATTTCGTTGCGGTGGTTGCGTGAATTGCAGCTTGCGACGTGAAATTCGATCGTTACTCTGCTTGCAACGCACTTCGCTGCTATAGTTCGCACGATGATAGGTATTACGGGCCGCGCGAAGCCGGTTTCGTTTATTACACCGAGCTCTCGAACCGGGAATTTATTATTCGCGATGCCACGCGCGCGCGCGTCTCGATCGGCCTCTTTTGCGTTTCTCTTCGCCGATCACGTGTTTCCTTGCGTTTTATTTAGCCTTGCCATTGTGTTTGCCGCGAAACGGACACGGGAGGATTTCAGTCACGAACTACGGGGAACTACTAATAAAAAGGGAAGGGTTCAGCCTATGCTTCTTCCCTGCCTGTGATTTCAATCTACTTTCGCAGGCTGATAGATTGCAGGTCCTTGTTGCTGTGTTGTGGAAGTATCAGGTGTGATAACTCGATCGTTTGGAAAGTATCAGCAATTAGGGTAACATGTCTCGCGATAACGAGACGGTTCTTGCAAATAGGGCGTAGCTCTTTTAATCGTTTACGAAAATGTTAGAGGGAGGGATAGAAAAATGTGTTGTACAGGAATCGACACATTTTCGTGGCTCCTGTTTCGACTACGATCCCTGGAAGGTGGAAGAATTGTTTTAGAGGCCCAACCCATAGGCTGGCATAGCCTATTGCATCCAATTGGTACAGTAAAGTCTCCATAAATGCACTAGTTGAGTCCCGAGTTTGTGCATTTATGAAGACTTTACTGTATTTACCACAGAAAAATCTCGCTCCAACCGCAGAACGTTGTTTATCTGTGTTAACGTTAAATCCAACGTTGCATTCGTCGGCTTGACGCCTTTTTAGCCCAGTGTACAGCGTAGTAACCTTAACGAGCATTCTAACAGAGTATCTACCTTACCTCGTTTAAATTATAACGCAGGATTTAATTTTTAAATAATCTACAAACCAATAATCTTCAAACCAATTTGTACTTCATATTTTGTGTTTAAATTCAACCAATCACAACGTTAAATCTATATTCATTATACTCCAATTAGATATCCTGCGGATCTCTTCAACTCGAATTTACTCGTTCATCGAGGATCGCGTACTCGGAGCATGGAGAAAGAGAGATTAATCCTGACAGGAATTGCTGGTTGTACTGGATCAGACGGTTCAATCGGCCTTGAAAGGCCTACGATTAAGCAAACATTACCGGGCACTCTCCACATGTCCCTTGCCGATTATACGGCGTAATTCTTTTCTCCCCGTCCCTCCCCGCGGTGCATCGTTTGTACACATTTTAAATTCTACTTACGCGAAAAGGTCTAGAACGTAATTAATCGCGTAAGTCGAGGACTTATACCGTGCGACTATGAATATCAATCTCTGTCGTCAAAGCGGCCATGGGCGCAGATGGTATAAGCGTACAATTTATGTGCCCCGAGTCGCGGGTTCGAGTCTTCGTTCGTCGGATATACTTTTTCAAATTTTGAATTAACGAGAAAAACAAGTCTTCGATGTATTATTCATCGACTAAGTAACCGTTGCCCATACATTATACTAACGTTTTAGAGGATTCACTGGCCATTTTTAAATGCGAAGAGAAATATTGAATTCGTTTATAATTAAAGAAGAGTCGAAATATTTTTGTAATCAATTTTTTAAATTATTCAACTTTTACTTCATCCCTCGGAACGTTCATATATCGTTGCAACCATTTCGACGACAGAGATTGATACTCGTAGCGCACGCTCTAAAGTACGTTACACGAATTCCTTGTATCTCTGAAATCATCGAGTAAGTACGCCTAATATTGTGCAGTCGTACATATGGCACTCATGATCTACCATCCTGCAAAAGTAGGTCAAGATTGGAGGGGAGACCAGTTGAGTGCTCCCTTGTAAGTGTTGCAACGGTTGCTTGCTCTCTTGCGACCATATTTGAAGAAAATGAATATCGAATACTAAATATCACGGCGAGACCATTCGATCGTTCGTCCAATTCGAGTCTCGATTAATTCGCGGAGAAGTAAGGGGTCAGAAAATAATTTCTTTTCGTGGGACAAGGTGAAATTGGCACGATAAAACGGCTAAACGCGCGATGTTTTAACTGAAAAGCACGCATTCGAGGTTTAACCGAGGAGAACGCGATGTTTCATGTGCATCGATCCAATAGAAATCGAGCGGCGAGGAAATTGCGGGAACATCGGTCCGACAAACCGCGCGCTGCGAGACAACGGTACTTCCTCGCGATCGTAAACGCTGCTTGACCGTTAAGTTGACTCTTTCCATCCACTTCCAGGCCTTCCTCTTCTCTTCTCGAACCCAGAACCGTATACAATATTAGTTACGATAGTACACAGTCTACTTTATTTTAAATTAAATGTGGGACAAAGCAGTTCGTTAGTGGAAACATTTTTTCAAATTAGCAGGAACAATATTATTTCGAATGGTGCGGTCTATTTTATTTTATATTAGATGTGGAACAAAGCAGTTCGTTAGTGGGAACAAGTTTCGAAATTAGCAGGAACAATATTATTTCGAATGGTGCAGTCTATTTCATTTTATATTAG